TGTCTTTCAATGGGGTTGCGTTTGTATTTGGATAGAAAAACTGCTATATTATTTCAGATGATTGTGAAATCGTAAAACAAATAATAATCTCGAATGCCAGAAAACATTATTTTCATGGAACTTTACAAAAAATAGCTCTAAAGATCTACTTACAAAATATACACAAACGGAGAAAACAGCTCCCCAGGCTGCAGAGTGCCTTGGATTATTTTTACAGTAGGAGCCGGAATGTTTGCCATTGGGCAGAGTGTGGTTAAGATGAAAATATCTTCTCAGGCAGGCCAGGGCATCTCTCCGTGTTAAACTGCAATACGGCACAGCGAGGGGGAAGTGACTCGTTGATTGCAACATTTAATAGTTCCTTTTCTGAATCCTTGTTTACACAGGGTGAGGCAGCAAGCTAAAGCCACTTGGAATTTTGGAGGATTTGGGCAGAAGGACACGAAGACACACATTTGCCATTGTTTGGAACATACATCAGGGACAGAGATTTTATCAGTGGGTTTCTGATTTTATCTGTTAGGGCTGGGAGGGGACGAATAAAGCAAAACAGCCAAAGAACAGCGGATCAAACAAAGAGGAGTTTATTTTCTTTCACGTAAAGGAGTCCTCAGTAGAGCACAGTGGAGAGGCTCCTTCTGCTTCACTTTCACTAACACTGTTGTTATTGAGGCGTCCCTTCACATTTGCCTCATGGATCCAGTGTTGTTGCTGGAGTCCTAGCCATCACATCTGCAATCCAGGCAGTAGAAAGGAGGATAGGGAAAGGTCCCTGCTTCCTGCTGAATCAGTTCTCTTTGAAGGAACTTCCTGGAAGCTCCCAGCTGCTGATGTTCACTTACATCCCCTTGACCACTGTGAACAGGGAGGGAGTCTGGAAAATGCCGTGCGTTAGCTGTGTGCATTCGTGGCTCCAAATACAATTGAGCTTTGTTAGTCAGGAAGAGAGGCCATAGCTGTTGAGTAGCAAACTGTGCCCTCTGATACTGAGTGAACAGATAGAACCCAGTTAAAAAGTCTCAGTCCTTCTTGGAGTTATTGGATAGTCAGAGTCTTAATGGGCATATGTCTCGGAAGGTGCTTCAAATATGAGCACCACAGGCCATTTCGTGCCTGTGGCCTGAGCAGGGATGCCAGGAGTCCCCCCAGGGCAGAGGCAGGCTGCCGACCTATAGAAGTCTCACGGGGTCGTTAATATTCACTAGGTTGGCAAATTGGCCAAGGCTCAGGGTTTGTCCTTCATTAATACAGGGATAGAAATTTGGTTTTTTCCAGCACAACAAAAGCGAATCTGAGTCTCAAGAAGAAATTCAAATGACCCCAACTTAGATGTACCCAAGCAATAGCTGTAGGAAAGCTAAATGTGCACTAATTTGCGATGAGAAATAATGTTCACAGGAAGCAAAACGCTCACAGAAGTTTGCTTGTGAGCGTGGGATTAGAAAGACGTCAGGTGAGTAGCTGGGCGCCTCATGTGCTGAGGCCAAGGTTAGGAGGGGCTGGCGCTGGGACCAGGCCGAGGGGCTCGCCTCCCCTCTTCCCGCCGTCCCTGTCAGCCCATTGCCTGTGATGGCCCCTCTCTTGCCTCTGTCCAAGGCTGAAGCCCCCCACTTCTGACCTGGACACTCAGAGTTGTTTACAAGCAGACACAACCAGTCTGGTAGGTGGAGCGATTTTGTGTTTCTCGGCTGTGACAATACACGTGGAGTTTAAGTGTGCAGTCTCAGGGGGCAGTTTAACTTGACTTACTCCTAAATTCTCAGGAGAAGCTTCAGGGTACCCCCCAGGTGCTGCCTCTGATGGGCTGTTCCATAGACGTTCGTGGTGAAGATCCGAAAGTGACCGTGACTTTCCACGGTGGAGGACGAAAGGGGTTTGTCACTCCAGACCTGACTGCTGTGACTCAGCAAACCGCCAGCAGGAGTGAATGTCTGTAAACAGGAAGTCGATGGGTGCCCACTGAAAAGGGGGGCTGAGTCCTTAGAACTCAGGGGACCCTGAATTCTGTCTGCGGCCACTCGGACTCATAATTCAGGGGACAGCCTGTGAGCAGCGGTTCAGCTGTGTCTCAGTGACCCCGTGAGGTGGGAGGCCGTTGGAGAGGTCTGACCGTTCCCCCGGGGAAGGCGGGGGGGGGGGGGCAGGCAGCCTCCTTTCTCTCCCTCCTCATGTGGGCGCTGGGGCCCCAAACGCAGAGCTCGCCCAAGAGGAGAAACCCCCCTGGTGGATGGAGAGCCCATCTCCGGGGGGGACCCCTCTCCGAGAAAGTGGGGCTCCGGAGCACTGCTCCTGCTACTGTTGCGGGGGGGGGGGCGGCTGCCATGTGCCAAACCTCTGGGGTTCTCGAGGCAGGACCGGCTCTGCCCCTGGGCTCTGGACTGGTTTAGCTGCTCCCTTGGATCTCGTGGACTGAGTTCAGGTTCTGTGAGTACTGTGTTTGGACCTGATTGTTTTCGGAGCCGGCACTTTCTAGGAAAGCGGCTGGTCGTAGGACCAAGCTGGTAGCCTTTCTCGGAGTCTGTGGGGAGGGTAACTGGACTCTGTCTGCAGTCCCGAGGAAGGGAGAAAGCGGAGTAACTCAGACTAACAGTAGGCAGCCGTGTTCCCCTAGAGCCTCAGAGCAGTTCGAACGTTCGGATCTCAGATTGCACTCCAGGCCGTGGATGAAACCCACCCACCTCTCCAAGACAAACCTGCCCCAGCTACAGCGCCACGTTCTTTCAGGCCGCGTCTGGGAGATTTCGATGTGTTTGGTAAATGCTCCTTTCCTGCAAGGGCGCAGGGCTTTTCAACGCTGGGCTTCATCACCAGCTGCTGTCGGAATAAGCTGTTGATCTGCCCATTTCGGAGTCGCCAGACCCACCGCAGCCGTCGGGGGGGCTTCCTCTGGGCAGTCGCGTCGGGTCTGACTGCTGGGGGTGGGCAGCAGCGAGTCTGACGTCACAACACCTCCCAGGGCTGGTGACCACGTGGCAGGTGCTCGCCACCCGCGGTCCGGGGGAGGCTTGGGTCTTCTTGTCAGACTAAAGGGATTTGCAGCGGCGTGTTCCACAGATTTGAAATTTAGATGAAATACGGGTTCTGGCACCACTAAAGCCCCCCTTTTTAAACAAAATCTTTTATTACAAAACCATAAGCATGTCATCCTGTAACATAACGGTATCTCACTCAAGCACAACATCTGACATTTTAGGTGGAACGTTCAAGTTCAAACCACACATTATTACACCCACATTATTACCTACCAACCCCACCCTGGCAGCCTGCCTTCTGCCGGGCCCTGTACACTGTTTTTAGTGGTGATCCAGCTTCTCTACAGTCCCCTGTTTTTGCCCTTGTGAAATTTAGTCTGAGATTTCTGGGCCATGATCAGTATATATATATATTCTAATCATTTATATATAATATATATTCTAATCATATATATATTAGTATATATATATTCTAATATATATTCTAATCATTTTAAAAAGATTTTATTTTTCTATTTTTAGAGGGGAAGGGAGGGAGAAAGAGAGGGAGAGAAACATCAGCGTGTGGCTGCCTCTCCTGTATCCCCCACTGGGGACCCAGCCCACAACCCAGGCGTGTGCCCTGACTGGGAATCAAACTGGTGACCCTTTGCTTCACAGCCCGGTGCTCAGTCCACTGAGCCGTGCCAGCCAGGGTGATAATCAGTATATTTTTAATGAATCAAAACGATATGAAATGAAATCTTTAAAGAACTTTTTTTCACTACTTCATTCTCAAAGCTGTTGGATAGTTTAACTAGATTGTTCTCTAGTCCAGGGTACGTGGTATTCAGAGGTCAATAGTGCTGAATGCTTGCTGAATGCTGAACGGTCTCTACGAACCATGAAAAGGGGCAAACGAACAAACACATCACAGCATCGTTCTACACAAACGCAGGGAAACCCAGTGGTACCGCCTGGGAGTGAGCACTGTCCGTCCTCTGGGACCCAGCTCCACACCGAGGCGGAGACGGGCCCTGTGGCTGCTGCCTGTTGAAGGAGCGGCCACCCACCCGATCCCATTGCACGGCGACGCGGTGGCCAGACTCAGCTCAGGCCTGTTCTGCTCCGTCCCATTTCTGGTCAGAGTCCGGGGCTCCATCCCGTGGACGGTCCTGATGTGGTCAGCAGGGACGACTCTCAATCTCTTCACCGAGTTCTTGTTTATGGAATTAATTGATTAAAAATGTTTAACCTGTTGACCCCTTCACCTGTCTCTCCCACCCCCCACCCGGACCTCGCCACCCGCCGATCCGCTCTCTGCATCTGCGGGCTTTTGGTTTCTCGTTTATTTCCACACGTGCAGCAGGCCAGGCGGGATGTGTCTTTGTCTGTCTGGCTGACGTCATTTGGCGCAGTGCCCACAAGGCCCGTCCGTGTTGTCCCAGATTTCAAACCTGCATTCTCTTCACTGGCTGGATCCCCCGCGGTCTGAGTGCCTCCCAGTGGGTGTATCCGTTGACCCATCGATGGACGTGTAGGCTGTTCCCGTCCCTCAGACGCTGTGAGCGACACTGCGGAGGACACAGGGGGCGCGTGTCTTTTCGGGTAGACGTTTTCATCTCAGACGCGGACAGATACCAGCATTGGGACTGCTGGATGGTGGGGCATTTCTACTTGTAATTTTTGGAGAAAAAATGATTTTTAATTTCAAACTCTGTTTTATTTATTGCAGGTATTTTTGCGAATTGTTTTAAATCCTGCCTGGAAGCAGGTATGGATAAGTAAGTAATAAGCACTATTCTAAATATTTGTAGGAACTCTGGTTGTGCTTTACTAACGTGCCTCGGGTGTCTGAACTTGCCGTTTCTTATTTGGAAACACAGTTTAGGATGATCCACTAGAGACCGCGGCACAGGGCTGGTGGAGGCGGCACTGTGACCTCTGGTTCAATCCCCGTTCCCGGCTGAGGGGAGTGTGGGTGAAGTGAGGGGATATATCGTTTGTGGTAGTTATTCCCATAAAAGACAAACAGGTACTCTTCTACATTTTATTCAGAATGAAATAAGCAGAGATACATCCGTGATACTGGTGAAAAAGAACTTGATTCCATAACAAAATCAGTCCTAACGGGGCAGGAGGGGACCCTAGCTGTCCCCAACCGCATCCAACCACACTGAAGGTACCAGTGGCCTGTAGAACTCGTTGTGGGGAAAATAATGCCCACAACCAAGCAATGGGAAGACCCCGGAAAATCACTGGCCGCCATAGTTTGCAGGAGGCGGGAGCAGCTTGCGTTTGATCCAAGCCTGGAACTTCTTCGTGAAGAGGATGTAGATTCCAGGTTTCTTGGCATCTCCGCATTTATGACCCGCAGACACCAGACCATAGAAGGCACCGCCGCAGACCAAGGGGCCACCAGAGTCACCCTGGAAACAAGAACAGGGACAGGCGCTCTGTCAGAAGCTCGTGAACTCGAGTTCCTGCCACCCACAGCCGATGACTCAAAAGTTTACAGTCTGGGTCCTTGGTTCCCTTGCGTCTCGAAGAGGGGCAGGCATGGCCCCTCACTCGGGGTCGGACATCTGTGTCTGTCTGTCTGCCCATGCCCTTGTCCTTGGGACTAACCATACACACATCCTTTGCTCACCTGTGACCACTGAACTTGATTATCAAGGAAAGGGCAGATGGAAAGTTTGAAATGACTCACTGAGATGAGAGAATGATTTAATCGGAGAGTTTCATGTTGGTGATCACAGATCTGAAATCAAGCCGCAGGGAACGGTGCTGCAGAACCATCCGGTGGCAGGGACTCTATCTCCTGTGTTACCTCCCTGCGTTGGCGCCCTCGGAGGGTTGGACTGAGCGCTCTGCACACCCACGCCTCCCAAACCCTCCCTCAGTGCGCCGATTCTTGAGGATTCCCTCCGACAACCGAATGTGTACCTCGAATCTGTCAAGGACGGTGACAAGGTGGCAGCCTGGCCTTGGCCACCGCTGGCCCGCCTGCCAGCTGCTGTGCCCGGTGCCCAGGCAGGGTGGGGTGATGGCGGGGTGGGGGTGCTGCACGTGAGGACATGGTCTTGGAGATCACCCCACCCTCCCCCCTTAATCACACACACAGTGTGATGTATCGTGTTCCAGTTTTCAAAAAGATGCGTTTGTTTACTTTTAGAGGGGCAAAGGGAAGATAAAAGAGAGGGAGAGAAACAGCGACCTGAGAGAGAAACATCCATCGCTTGCCTCTCACACACCCGCAGCCGGGACCTGGCCTGCAGCCCAGGCACGTGCCCTGACTGGGAATCAAACTGATGACCTTTCGCTTTGCGAGACGACACCCAACCCACTGAGCCACACAGTCAGGGCTGTGCTATAAATTTTTTAAAAATTGGTATTCTGCCCTGGCTGCGGTGACTCGGCAGTGGGAGTGTCGTCCTGTGCACCGAAGGGTTGCGGGTTCGATTTGCAGTCAGGGCACATGCCCAGGTTGTGGGTTTGATCCCTGTGTATAAGAGAGTCAACCGATCACTGTTTCTCATGCTGAAGCTCCTGTTTCTCTCTCTCTGAAGCAATGACAGATGTCCTCAGGTAAGGGTGAAAAAACAGCAGCAGTCCCTCTGTGCTCCCGTTTGGCACCTGCAACCACGAACACCCACTTGTTTTCTGCCTCAGGAAGCAAGAGTTTGAGAGGTGAGACTGTCGTTCCTTCCAGCCAGCTGGTCACCATGATTTAAGAAGCACATACTCTCTATTTGAGCTCTGTGCATCTGAGTCTTACAAGGTCTCCTTATTAATCCATTGGAACGGTGGCTCTTTTTTGGGGGAAGTTACTTTCGAGTCACCACTAGTGAGTGTGGACTGGGTAGGTATAGGAGACTGTTCTGCGTGGCATGGGACCAGACAGGACCCACACCCACAAATAGGTTCTCCTGTGGGGAATCAGGCCTGCAATGTACCTAGGCCACTTTGAGACTTGCTTTTGCTAAAACTCCCTCTCCCTGAATTGAGGCAGAAGTGCTCTCTGTAACTTCCTAAAGTCTGTGCTAAGTCTCCCCAGTGTGGACTAACCAGTTCAACTACTTTCCCCTTTTCATTTGCAAATATTCCTCTTCTGTGATGTGATCAGTGGCATTGTCTCCTTTGTTTTCTAAAGTGAACCTGCGCATAGAAAATGAGGACCATCATGTAATGTGCCCAGAAACCCAATAAAGGCCCATCGAGGCAAGGGCAGAGGCTTTTTCTCCCCTTGAGAGAGAAGCCATGCTGTCCCTTTTCCTCCACAAGACTCAGTAGTTCGTGTGAATTTCTCGTGCCTCATCCACAGTGTGGTGGACCCCACGAGCCGGGGTCCGCACCAGGCAGGCTGTCCCAGGACGCTGCTGCCCCCGGGAGGACGCCTGGCAAGGTCATCAGACGTGTCACTACCTGGATGAACAAATGTGAACCGACCACCTGCTGTGCGTGGGGCTGCCCGGAAGGTCCGTTCGCTCTGGGAGATGAGAAGGAGGAGGACACTGCGCAGGAGCAGAGAGTAGCTCTAGTGACCGCAGTCTGGGCTTTGCACGCCTCCTGTCCTCCGAGCCAGTGAGCAAACGGAGCCTCGCCCCTGACCGTCATGCTGAGCCCCGCACTTACCTGGCAAGAGTCCTTCTGGCCTTTGGCGTCTCCTGCACACACCATGCCTTTGATGATGTTGGGGTGGTGGTTGTAGTAACTGGGGCTGTTGCAAACCTCGTGACTTATGACGGTGACAGTGACTTCTCGCAGGGTATCAGAGGGTCTCAAAACGACCGGGTTGGTGGCACCCCAGCCAGTGACCTGGCATTTGGTTCCAGCTCTAATATCATCTTTGGTGCTCGGTTGGAGTGGCTGGACGTTCTGGTCGAGTTTTGCGGCCGTGTGAAGCTGACAGATGGAAAAAGAGTAAATGATTGTTTGTCCCCAGTCATATTCCGCTATCGGCCTGAGTGTGGTCTTTGTGTGGTCCCCGATCTCGGGACACGCCCCTCTTCTTCCATCTACTCCGTGGCAGCCTGCAGCAGCCTCTGTGGTTCTTGCCCCCCGCGCCTGCCCCCCACGCCCTGCAGAGCTCGGTGGTGCTCGGGGAGGAGCTGACACAGAGCAGGAAGGTTGCCCAGGCTCAAGTAAGCTGCCCCCCCCTCCCCCGGACTGGGCGGTTTTCTGTGCAATGACACCGCGGGGTCTCGACTTCGAGGGCGGGCGCTTTTCTGCTGGAGGGGACCCTTGAGGACAGTGTAGACGGCGTTTGGACAAGACCACGTGTGGTCTAGACCAGGTTGTAACTCACTTCTGTGTGTCTGAGGTCACCCGGTGGGCTCTGTTGGGAAACCGACTCAGTTTCTCGTTTGTTAACGATGAAAGCTTTCCCGTGGGTCCCTGGGCCTGCTGGGCTGTCCCCTCCCACGTACGTGGCTTTGTACTGTGCGGAGCCAGCCCCGATGGGTGTGGGAGGTAGAATGGGCTCTTACAGGACGTGTCCCGGGGACCCTGAGCGTGACAAGAGTGCCAAGGCCGTGCCTGTGTGCAGGTGACATAATGACCGCACTGCGTTATGTAGAGTGTTGGAGAAGCTGAGGGAGGGCGGGCCACCTACCTTAACCAGCATGATGTCGTTGGAGTCGGGATCTGACGAGTATCCTGGGGACGGTATGAACTTTATAACATCAAATGTCTGTTTGGAGTCCTCACTCTTAGAGAGAGAATGTGCTCCTAGCACCACTTTGAAAGCCTGGCGTCTGGCGAACCTGGAAAAAGCGAAGTGTGAAGAGTCGACAACCTCGTTCCCAGGCCCCCTGGTGGAGAGGAGAAAAGGTAGAGAAGGTCGGGTACAAACAGGGACGAGGGCCGGCTGCCAGGTCACCTGTCTAGGGTGTGACGGAGGTCGCAGTGGACGCAAGCATGGCCGGATGCCGCCAGGAGCCCACTGACCCGCCGCCAGCCCACGCCCGCACCCCCAGCACTGCGCCCGAGCGCTGCGCCCTGCTGCGGCGAAAGGAGTGGAAGCCTAACCGACTGACACCAGTTCACCACGAAGTACGGTTAGTTTAGGTAAAAATAAAAGACATTGCGTTTGTTGAGGTTGTGGGTTGAAATTGATATCGGCCATTATTAGATATTTTGTTCATTGAGGTAAAATTTGCATGACCTAAACTTCACAGTTTTAACCATTTTCTGTTAGTCTGTGGCATTCGATTCATTTATATTGCCCCCCCCAGGTTGTGTCAGCCCCCCCGCATTCGGTGTGTTCGCAGCTAAAACCTGCGCATCTGTAAGTCGAGGTGGCATCTCAGACCACGCAGAGACAGGAGGTTCCTCACCGGGCCGAGAGACAAGCTCCTGCGTCTGTCCCCGCTGTCAGAGAGAAGATCTGGGCAGGGAAGGCAAGCTGTCCCCCCAGCAAAACGCCACTGCTGACCAGAGTGAGGAGAGGAGGGCTGGTGGCCACTGCCGGCCCCACTGAGGGTTTGGGGGCAACAGCCGCTGAGCCCGTGGAAGAGACAGCAGGTGGGATTCTTTTTCTTTTCTGTTGCCCTTGCCATAGAGAGTTCCAGCACCGGTGCGTCGACGGTACCACGCGGGTGCGGTTTGCTACATGTTGCACAGAACTTCGTCCGCAGCTAGTCACAAAAATAACGATACTTTGGAGAGCCTGAGACGGAGCCCGGGCATGTTACAAAACTCCCATTTCAGCTGCACCTCCGGAAGCCTCTTTGAATAAGGAAGTTTATACAAAGAATCATATTTGGTTACCTACACCTATTTCATCGTCACTAGAAAAGAGATTAAAGCGGATTACAAAAACCCCACAGCCACACACACAGATTATCAATATTCATACAAGCGACAAAGAAACACAGAAAAGGCGAGCGGAGGCGGCCTCGGGTTGGGGACCCAGTGCCCGATGGCAGGCTGCGACTGCCCAGAGTTCCTGCTTCTCGAATTCTACCAGAAGCGTTTGTTTGGGGAATTCCAGCTCTGCTTGTGGAGTTTGCCTATTGCAAAATCAGGGTGAGATGAAATTTCCCAAAGGGCGTGGACTGGATTTCCCAGGACTGACCCGAACTCAAATTGACACAGTCCCTGCACCCAAGGCTTCGGCGGGGAAGGACGACCGGACCCCCTCCCACTGCCCCCCACACCCCCGGGGCCGCGTTCTAACGGATGGCACGGCACCTGCACGAGTGGCCGGAGCAGGAGGCCTGCGAGGCTGTGGACGTCGAGTTCTAGCTCGGGAAGAGTGCGGGGACATTGCCGGTTCCCCTTCATCTCTTACCAGTTTCCTTGGTTAGTTCATGCCTTTGAAATGTTTTGATTATTTTCATCTCCACTGGGACGTGTTAATACGAAAACCGCCACCAACAGCCCTGACGGTTACGGCCCAGTGGGTTGGGCGTTGTCCCACAAAGCTAACGGTCGCTGGTTCCATTCCAGGCCAGGACACATGCCTGGGTCTCGGACCTGGTCCCAGGTAGGGGGATGCACAAGAGGCCACTGATCAATGTTTCTCTCCCTTTCTCCCTACCTTTCCCTCTCTCTTAAGTAAGTAAAATCTTTAAAACAGTTTAAGAATGCAAGCAGACTACAAGTGCCCTCTGGGCTTTCCAGAGGGACCGTCCACCTCTGGGTGCACTGCCACCGTGATGTGCGCACGGAGGGCGATTTCCCCGCGCCTGAGACACCTGCCGTCACCCGAGTACTTGCACCCACCTCCTTAGCTAAGTCCGGGCCGGACTCACACAGCGGAGGAGAAAGAACACCGCGTCGTCCATTTCTACACCCGTACACACCGTGTGTCCATGTGTCTCCAGGGTGGGCTTTGGACCACCTGCTTCAGAGTCACCCGGAGGTGTTTGTTGGAAGTGCAGCTTTCCGCGTCCCTGGTCTTGCCTGGAACAGAACTCCGTGCAGAGGGGCCAGTGCCTTGCTTCCTGTCCACCTCCATCTGCTGAAGATGCCCACGGACGCTCTCCTGAGCCTCCCCAAGACCCTCCTCGGTGTTGGTAATCCGACAGGCTGTGTGTTCCTTACTCGTGAAGGGGTCTTTGGCCCAAAGTGACATGTGGCTCCACAGGGGAGTCAGGGCCCAAACCCGGCTTTTGTGACGCTGTCCAGTGCTTTGTCTGTGGAGGGTGCGGGCGCCGAGTGCCCAGCCTCTCGGCTCCAACAGGGAAGGCAGGGTCCCTTTCTTGGAGGTCTCTGGCATATGAGAGAGGGACTGTCACAGTTCTGTCCCATCAGCATGATGAGGTCATTGGATTTGTTTCTCGGCAACACAACTTCGGATCACTTTCATTAAATTATTGCAGCCTGGCCAGTTTTGTGCTGGGCCTTTTGCACTCTCTCTCCCATTTAAACCTCACAACTGCCCTTGAAGGAGGGCACAGTTATTCCCATTCTGCAGATGAGGACATTGAGGCTCGGGTGAACAAACAGACTGGAGAATGTCCCACAGAGCTTACAGACGCAGTTGCAATGGGAAAAGCTCAGTGGGTTTGAATCTGGGCCTGAAGTTCCCGCCCAGGGGGTCCAGGGGACTCGGGATGGGGTGAGGCCACGCGGCAGGGGAGGCGGGAGCTCTGGTGTAGCCGCTGGCCGGCAGGAGAGGAGGAAAAGTGTCGATGAGGAAGGGCTTTGGAGGCGGCTCGGGGAGGCAGCAGGCAAGACTGGGTGAGAATTTTGCTTCTCACAACTTAAAAGGCTGGACGTGAGATTATACAAGAAGCCTTCTTACCAGTTTCCTTCCATAACTGGTGTGGGCACTACTGAAGGAGCCAGACTGTGAGGAGCCGCACTGATGGGTGGCGGGCGGGGCCCAGCAGATCTGGCCCCCACACCACTTGCTGAGAGGGGCCCAGGCACCAGCCAGCGAGCCGTCCCCGCGGGGTGCGTGGGGCCCTTGTGTGGGAAGCCACCACTGAGCTGTTCCATAAATATTTGGGATTTCATAAGGCTTAATGTTTTTCTAAGCACCAATCCACCTTCAGTTTGACACCCCAGTGTCCCGTAGAGGAAATTTGATCTGCATGTTCTGGAATTCTTTAAACTCCAGCCACTTAAAATGATACTTAGCAATTTTTTAAAACTTCAAGACCTCTTTTCCCTAATTGGTCAGTTTGGCAATCCACCCCGACTGAGTCAAGTTCACCAGACAAAATTTAAAATTCAACTTAATAATACCATTTAGCATCCGGTAGCACTTTACGCTTGCAAAGGACTTCACAGACTGTGTTTTCAGCTTAGCAAAAAATAAAAGTCAATAAATCCTCCAGTTGATTTCCCTCTTTGTATTCAGCATGTCCTGAGCGTCTGTAAGGAGTCAGGCTCTGCGTCTGGGGGGTCGGGGCCCACCTACATGTGCCGAAGCGTGTTTGAGCGTGTGCATGCTGTGAGCCGAGTGGCCTCTGCCTGAGAGTCCCCTCTGCCTGGCCGGTCCCCAGGGGCAAGTGGCCTGCAAGGGCGGAAGGGATGGGCATGCGGGGTGGCCCCTGTGGCGGCAAGGACCTCATGTAAATGAAGTGGCCGTGCTGAATCAGTGGCTGGCTCTGGAGAAATCCAACAGAAGTTCTCGGAGCTGCCAGGCTTCAGAAGTTCTGATTGGTGTTCAAACGGTCTCATCAGTGGGGCAATCGAACGAAATCTCCAGAACACAGGACGGTCAGCTCGGTTGTTCGTTTCGGTACAGCTGATGCCAAGGGACCCTTAAGGGCATGCGGTCATTGTGTACAGAAAAGACGTCCTGTCTCATCTGACTTACTGGGCAAGAGGCATAAGGAAAAAAACATACAACCCCCCAAAACAACCGAAGAAAAAGCACCCCCGCAACCCGCCCAGCACACTGACAACACCAGGGCTGCTTTCTGTGACTTTCCCTCTGGCGGTAGCTGCAGAACCCCAAGAAGGGCCTGGGGCTGTTTTAGCTGGAGTAAGAGCGTCACAGGCTGACACGGACTTTGAGAGTCACTGTCCGTCCTCAGAAAAGCTTTCATTCTGAGTGTCCCAGAGGAAGACATCTCTCTCTCTCTCTGTTAATAAACCACCTGCGACTTTCCGTCCCCACCTGGGAAGGCTGTCGCCCTTACAGCCGTAATTCCCAAGCTGCGGGCCTCACCTCCGGGGTGGGCACTGGGGCGTTACTGCCTGGAGCCCCCGAGCAAGGTGGGGCCTCTTCCGTCTACAGCCGTCACTCCCTCCACTACTAGCTGCCCCTTCTGCGCAATTACTCTGTGCTCAGCACACTCGGATATTTATGTAGATACTCGTTAACCCTCAAAGTCCCACAGAGCAGGTCCTTTGGTCAGGTGGGCTGGGAGGTACACACTGGTCCCCCCGGGGCGGCCGCCTTCCCTGGTGGCACGTGCCAGCCTAGAACATGTCTAAGGCCTTGGTGGGAAAGGCGGGCCAGCCGTCCTCGTAAAGGGAAATGCAGGGCAGAAAGGGCGGATGCGCTGAAGGTGCGTGACTTCCACCAGTGGGCCTGTGACCACGGAAGCGAAGGGCAGGGCAGACGCCCTCCTGGTGGGGGTGGCGGGCTTCTGCTCTCGCCCCACGGCGGGCGGGTGGCAGTGTGGGGACTCACCGGCGGTGGCAGTGGGCTGCAGTGAGCACCCACTGTGGGTGGATGAGGACGCCTCCGCAAAGGTGGCCACCCCGGTGCTGCAGGGAGGCCATGAACGGCCTGGAGTGCGGGGGCACCTCCTGTCCCCCGATGACCTCCTCGCTGGAACCTGCAAAAGAAGAGCAGCTGTGTAACACAAAAGGTCCATGCAGAGGATTCCGTGTGATTCTTCTTTTGACAGGTGTTCTGTCATTTGCAAAGGTTGAAAAACGGTGCGGTCACCTGGACACATAACTGTACTTACAAGCACTAGTGTGCAACTGTATACAAACAGCTGTTTGCCACATCACAGTTTAGAGGCATAGACATGGCTGTGAAACATTGTTGCTGTTCATCACACGGCAGCGCAGCGCAGCCACCAGAAACCCACTCAGGGCCCGGAGGCGGGAGGCGCAGGAGATACTTACACTGGGGAGTCAGGGAAGCCCCGGCTAGCAGGAAAAACAGGGAACAGGACACAAATGTAGCCATGTCAGTGGCTTTGATTTAGGAAGCCCAGATGAAGTGCTTCGACCAAGTTGGTGAAGGAAGGAGATTCTGAAGGCTGAGCTTTGGTCTTGCAGTTTTAACTCGCTTACCACAAGTGTTCTGGAGTCACAGTTTTCACACCTTCGTCGAGGGGGGTTTATCAGTTTGGGGCGTTCTGGATCTGTGCTTTTAGCACTTTTGGGAGGAGCTGCATTTGCAATAAAGAATTTGTTTCTGCACCTACCCACCTTCGATGTCTGTGCGAGCACTTGTGTTGTAAACAATGAAAGGATGAAAAACAGCTGAGCCGCAAGGACTCAGTGAAGTTGCAGAAAGTTGCAGACAGAGCTCCGAGATGCTCTGAAGCAACACTCACTGTTTCCCTGGCAGAAAAGGGCGCCTGTCACGTGGAGGTTCTCTCTGCTTCTCCGTGGACGCAGATTTGCCACGGGGACGCACGTGGAGCCTTGGACAGAGCGTCGTCCTGCCCCACTGAGGCCTCGCTGAAGCCCGAACCTCTCCCAGTGAGACCCACGAGCTTCGTAGCAAACCCATTCCTGGTCCTGCCATTTTCTCTCAAAGGGACCGAATGTGGTTCAATTTCAGTTACATTTTTGGAAGATTTCATAATGTTATTAAAGGGGAACATTGGCAACATATTTTTAATTCCGAGTCTCTCTTTCACTCAATTTTAATTGAAAATGACCGTCTGTTTATCTAAGGCCTTAATAATAACATTTTAAAAAAATCAAGGACTGGGTTTTGTCCCCAGGAACAGATGGTGAGGCTTTGCTGGTCTGTCTATGCTTCTTCCTCTTCACTATGAAATGCATCAGCCTGGAGGCCGAGGTTCCATTCCCCCTGGTGCCGGTCCATGTCACAAACGTTATAAATCGGGCCCAGACAGACAGACAGACCGGGCACCAGACACCTAGTCACCATCCAGAAACCCTGACCAATCAGCTTCAGCAAACAACCCTTGCTTTCCTCTTCTAAGACACATGCATCCTACCTTCGTGTGTGTGTGTGTGTGTGTGTGAAGGAGAATTGAAACCCAGGCTCTCATGTTTGCTGGATTGCAAGAGACTCCTACCAAATTGTTTTTTGCTGGTGTCATAATGATGTATATACATTGTGATTCAATAAGCACCTTAGATTATTTCCAAAACTCTTGTGACACATTCACGTCTGTGTGTGCGTGGCGGACGTCTGTTGGGGGGGGCAGCTGCCAGCTCTGTGTCACCAGTGAAGCATCGGGCCCCGCGGAGGCGGAGCAGAGCGCCCGGCACTGCTCAAGCACAGCCGGCCCAGCCCTCGGCCTGACCTGGCGAACCTCGCACGCTGATGGACACACGGCCGGAGCGCAGAATCGGAGGAAACGTCCGTTCTCAGTGCACGCGGCCGTGGCAACGGCACAGCTTTCCTGTCTGCTCAGCTGGCAGATCAGCAAGACTTCCTGCCACAGAGACCTGCGGCCGGTCGAGGAGGAGCCGATGAAGAAAAGCCGCAGACTCAGTAAACCAGACGTGCCAGCTGCAGCTGCATGTCCCTGTGAATTTTCAAGTCACCTTGGTCACAGCTGACGCTCCGCTTCTCTGCGCCGTGAAGAGGCAGGAAGAGGCCAGCTCCCTAGTGTGACCCAGAGCTGTGGGGACCGTGAGGGAGATGACGTGACAGGTAGAGGAGGTGATTTCAACTGAGAGGAAGGGACAGACGTGTGAGAGAGACACGGCTGCATTTCTGGCGGGGGCTGGGGGTAGGGGGACTTGGCTAAAGTGCTTTTCAGCTGATTGTTTCTGAGTGGCAGGGACTAACATCATGTCTAACATCACGTGAGCTTTTACACGCTCCGAAGCATCTTCACGGTGTTTCAGGGAGGTGGCCACCCCTGGAGCCCTGACCTGACCACCAGGGGCCCACCTTGCCTCGAGTGGTCGCCCCGCTCAGACAGAGGTACGCTGGCTGGGCCAGGGGCAGGGATTTAGCCATCCAGGCTGCGGTCACTCATGGGTGGGACTCAGCTCACTTGGAGGGGCAGCCTCGTAACTTCCTTGTAGCTGCCCTGGAAAATTCTGGGAACCACATTGGCTTCTGGGTCCGAGGGCTTTGGTTTTGGCTGTAGATCCACGCATATCATTTATTGTCCCACTGAGGGCGCTGGACGGGGAACAGTGGGCTGTGGAACACGAGGGGCCGGGCGGCCGCCCTGGTTTCTGCTGAATCTGCCATGGGGAGGCCGTGTTTGCCTTGGCCAGTGTGCAGCTGCTGGCCGGGCTGAGGGGGTGCGGGTGGGGCCAGTGGGGGCCAGTGGGGCGGGGCTGGACCCCCGAGTCCCGTCCGCAGCAGTTACCCTGTTGTGCTCAGCTGTCCTTTTTAGCTGCTCTTAGTGAGGCTGCTTTGGGGTTTTGTTTTCCTCCCTCCCTCCTCTCTCGACCCTCCCGTGTTACGGGAGACCCGTGCGAACGGCTGTGTGGAAGCTCCGAGGGCCGTGTGCGGCTCTGTCCCCTGGGCTGCCTTCCTTCCCCAGCCCAGTGTGGCCCAGGCTGTGCCAGTCTGTGACCTGCCCCTTACCCGTCTGGGGCGGGACGAGAGCTGACTGTGTGAGTCAGAGATTAGGAGCTGGTACCGAAGCTCTGTGCTCATTTATTTCACTTAATAAAATGTCATTTCGAGTCTGTTCCGTCTAATGGTAACATAGGGTATGTGTTTTGTAGGCCCACGTCTTTCATCTAACTTTCCCTGTCACTCGTGTTGGGTGAAAGTATCAACCAATGTTAACAAAAGCCCCAAACACACCCTGGCCTCCCCACCGGCGGTTCGAGCCCAGCTCCGAGGCTCCACACCGACGCGGACCCCTCTCAAGGCCTTCCTGTTTGTTCCCTTTCAGCCTCCACTGAGAAAGGTTCCCATTATCACAGCTGGGACAGCTGTCCCGGCCTCCCCAGCCCCAGGCACCTGAGATCGGGATTTGGCCGCGGTCCCCTGGGTCCTGCCCTCGTGTTCCGCTCCCTCGGAGCCCCGGTTTCTGCCCAGTGATGGGGGAGCTAACTTGGTAGTTGAATCTGCTAACAGTGACGGCGGAACTGCGGCAGCTTTGGGGGACCGGAGGGAGGAGGGCTGTTGCCGCGGGTGCCGGGTGGTGAGAAGTGCCCGGAACACTGGAACCCTACCAGCCCTCCCGTGAGAGGCCTCAGAATGGGTGAACCTGGGAGCACATCACCAAGGAGGGCTAAGTGCCCGGGCGTGGGCCTGGGGCTTTGGCTGTGAGCGCGGTGCCGGGAGCTGGGCTGGGGCTGGGCCTTCCCCGCATAAATGCGAGTGCCCCGGAGAACTGCCGACGACCTCCCCTGGGGGGGACTGATGGTGGTGGTGGTGGAGTGGAGGGAAATTCGCTTCATCTTCTTCCACCTTAACTTTTAATCAGGGCCTATTTTGCGTATGGATTATCCTCCTTGATTAAACACACATGTGCTTCCTGCCCACCGTTACTGAGTTAAGTAACACCGCGGCCCTTCACTGCCTGCCACCCCGCCCTGGTGACCTAGGCACCAGCGGCACCAGCTGAAGTGGGTGTGGAGTGGAAGGCTGAGCCCAGGATCTTGGCGTGAGACGTAACCCAGGGAAAACAGCGCAAGAAGTCGGCCAGTGGGGGGTCCCGGGGCCGCTGGCGCTGGCTGCCGGCTCAGTCCTCTGCCCCTTGTGACTTGCTTTCTTTTTCTCTTCTTCCTCAGGGTGGCTGTCAACGCCCCCTCTCATGGAGTTGCCTGTTATGGGAGGGATGGGAAAGTTCCACAGGGTGGTCCCCGCGGTGTCGCTGGGCCCAAGGCAGGTCACTCACTCTGTCCTCAGTGTTTGTCCTAAAAGATTTACACATGTGAAAATCCGCCAGCCAGGGACGGCCGCCAAAGGAGGGTTTGAGCCGTGACCTCTCTCCCAAGCAACGGGCTGTTGGGGGGGGGGGGCGCGCTGGCCTTGCACAGAGGGATCGAGGACTTGGATGAGCTTAGTGGGGCTTTTGGGAGAAAACTGGGGTCAACGTGCAGGTCACGTCAAGGGAAAGATGCCAGGGAGAGAACCGGCGACAAAGACCAGGAGAAAGGTGACGCGGGCAGGGGAGGGAGGAGGAAGCAGCGGGTCGTGGACGGGAGGGTCTCTGGTGGAGCGCTGCCATCTACGTTTGAACACCCCCGATACCACGCGTCCCGAGCCAAACACATCATCTTCTTAAATGGAAACAGATCTGTGAAACGGAATAATCTTGTCACATTGAAAGCAACACAGTTGTGTAAACCAGACAGAATGGCCGAGTGATAAAGTCACGGGGCAGACTCTTGACTGAGGGAGACACAGAAAATGCTACGGCCAGGCTGGGCCTCAACAGATCGGCTCATCCAGTATTCCTTAAGTTTTCCCTGACAACAGATGCCATGGAAATTGTCACACAGGTGTGACAGCGATACTTTTTGCAAAGGCTGTTGACTCATCAAACATCACACACACTTGCACACCCTCCCCAAACCCGCTGACTCCTGAATGCCTATCCCACCTTTTACCACCAATAACTTCCAGGTGGATCAAAGATTTTCTGTGAAAAAAATAGAATCATTACGAACACTAAATGAAATGGTAAATTAAGTATAATGTCTGAGAGGGAGGCATAAAGGAAACTGCCCGCCAGTTTGAGTGTGTAAAACTCCGACTCCTGTGAGGCAGAACGACCATGGGTGGAGGCCAAAGCCACTCGAGATGTCTGTCCTTGGCGTTGAGGAGCAGTCCCCCCAAAAGGCGTGTCTTTAATGTGTGAAGGCTCCCCGAGATCTGTAAAAAAGTTAATAATAATAAAGGGCTCGATGGTCAACACATCAATGTGAATACAATAAAATTTCAGTTAAATTTCCTCATCAGAAGCCTAGCCTATAAGCAGGAAGTCTTCGTGTTGGTAGCATAAATAGAAAGCGTATTTCACACCTTTGTAAGTCTTAGTAAGTGTAAGCTTGACACACTAACAGCTCAAGTACAGTAAGTACTGATAAAAAGACCACCAAGCTGAGAGAAGATAAATCACAAAAGCACAGTTTGAATGTTTTTA